TATTATCAGATATATGACTGTATTACTTGAATATTTGAACATTACATTTTACCATTTTATATCCAACGTTTAAGAGACCATCCTAGATGCCTGGACACAGTTTCTTCATTTGCATGATTTCTTCACTTGCTAGTGCAGTGGATTAAACATTAGTAGAGTTTTAATAACCTTGTATTCACATTTTCTTTTAACATATGTATTGGAATGATTATCAAGGGGATAGTTATCACCTCATTTTAGAAGGAGAAAAACAGTAGGTCTCAGAAAAATGAAACATGTTAGTGAATGTGAATTCTGAACTGCGATAGGGTACCCATTTCAGTCCTCTATCACTCAAAGAACACCTCTCACATTATGTCCCTCAGTGAAAAGGCTCATGCATTTCAGGAAGCTCTAAATAATTACCTAATGGCTCAGAAGGTGGCCATCAGTCACTGGATATTATGATTGTGCTGGGCTGAATAATAAATAACCCACCCGGATGTCCACAGCCTAATCCAAGGAACCTGTAGGTGTTATATGGCAAAAGGAATTTTGCAGATGTCATCAAGCTAAGGATCTTCAGATGGGAAAATTATCCTGGATTTTGTGGGTAAGCTCTTAAATGTAACCACAAGTGTCCTTCTAAGTATGAGAGGCAGAGGGAGAAGTGACTACAGAGAAGACAGTGTGAAGGTAGAGCAGAAATAGAGTTGAAGATGCTTTGCTGCTGGCCTTGAAGACGAGAAAGGGCCCATGAGTCAAAGTATGCAAAGAAGGTAGCTCCAGAAGCTAGAAAAGGCAAGAAAAAGATTCATCCACTGGATGCTCCTTTGACACCTTGAGCTCAGTTCAGTGAAACCCATTTCGGACTTCCAACCTCTAGAAATGTAAAAGAGTAAATGCGTATTGTTTTAAGCCCCTCAGTTTGTGGGCACTTGTTACAGCAGCTTTAGGAAACAAATACAGTGATGTACAACAGGATTCTGAGGAAGCCCCTTCTTGGTCAGGGAGAAGCTAGACTGTATTCTGAAATTCAATAGGCTGCTAATTTCAAGTTAACTAACCAGACACTCATGGGGTATCAGGATTCCTCAGTAGCAAGGGAATGGAAGAGAAGGGGAGCTACCTGAATCACGTCTACTAACTAGGCAAACATCACATTGGCTGACAGACACCCTTGAATCCCAGGAAATCAGCTAGAGACCTGGAAATCTTCAATCAAACTAGTAACTCAGAGGAAAGGGCCAGAATTTCACCAGGCAGGCTGAGCATTTATAGCTTCATTAAAGGCTACTAAATTATATGACTCAAGAAAATCACTGGCAATTTATTAGGACAAGAAATGTTTCTGTGGTTTTTACCACAAAACCTCGTTGGACCTTACACTGCATGACTATGGAATCTACTCTCACTTTTTGGAGCCCAAAATCTCTGTCTAGTTCTTTGGCTTGCAATATGAACCTAAGTAAAAAGTATGAGGGATTCAACATTTCTGGATGTTGTCACTATAACCTAGCTCTCAGTGACCCTGTACAGAACCTCTGATTCATTTTCAGATGATACAGCTCCTTTTTCAAGATGGTAGAAGAGTTGGGGCACCTGGGTGGCTAAGTCAGTTAAGTGTCTGCCTTCAGCTCGGGTCATGATCCCAGGGTTCTGGGTTCGAGCCCCATGTCAGGTTCTCTGCTCAGTGGGAACCTGTTTCTCCCTTTCCCTCTGCCTGCTGGTCTGCGTGCTTGTGCCCTCTCTCTCTCTCTCTCTCTCTGTGTGTGTCAAATAAATAGATAAATTAAATATTTAAAACAAACAAAAAAAAGAAGATAGAAGAGTTAAATGGTTCCTGTTCTTAGAGTCAAGAGTTTAAAGCCATCTGATCAGGCATGGGAGGAATAATGGAAGAATGTCAAGTAGGCCTTAACATTGATCCTTAGAGTGTCTTTTAAATCAGAAGTACAACAGACATGACAAATTTTTTTAAAGAATTTTCTAGTCTTTTGCTTCTACTTTCCACATCTGGCTCACTTTACTCACGGTCGTGTGACAAAAGAAAGTAGGTTTCTGGATTATATATATATATATTTTTTTAAAGATTTTATGTATTTATTTGAGAAAGAGAGAGAGTGAGAGAGAAATAGAGAGAGCAGGAGCAGGGAGAGAGGCTGAGGGAGAAGCAGACTCCCCGCTGAGCAGGGACCCAGACGCCTGGCTCTATCCCTGGACTCCAAGATCTTGACCCAAGCTGAAGGCAGATGCTTAATTGGCTGAGCCACCCAGGTGTCCCTCTGTTTCTGGATTTTAAAGCACAAAAAGTAGCTAGACTTCCTGCAGTGATTCCAGTGGGGCCACACCTATTCTTTATTCCTCCCCCCAAAACTAAAATGGAGTGTTTAATACAAACAAGTTCTTCTCTGAAGAGTAACATGTACATTTAAATTAAATGATAGCAAAGAGTTCTATCAGGGGCATAATCACTATCCTCAGCATGTAAATAAAGACATGGGGACTCAATGGAAGGAACACTATAATACAGTGAATGAGAATACTGGTTAGAGGCTAAATAGACAAGGTTTGACTCTCAGGTCCCACTACTAGCTGCATAACTCTGGGCAAGATTCTCAATTTTTCTGAGCTTCACTTCACTAATCTTTGAAATGGTGATAATAATAGTACCTACCACCTAGGGCTATTTTGAACATACATACCTATATAATACATATAAAGTTGGCCAGTGCAGAACTTAGAAAATATTCAGAGCTCAATAAATATCAGCTACCTTTACATGACCTTGAAGCCAATAAGAATATGATTTGGAGTATTTCATTAAATTATAATTTGTCATAATCTAGCTCGACAAATAATGACTGAAGGGAAAAGACAATGAGACATTTTAAATATGGAACTGGTTACTGAAGGAAATTTTATTGCCAAACACATGCAACTTGATTTTTATTATGAAAACAAGTTGCACATGTTTTGAACATCAAATAGATCAAAGGATATACAAGAAAAAGTTAATCTTTCCCTTACTGCAGAACTTCAGTTGCATTCTATAGAAGCAATCAAATAGATACATGCGTGTGTGTGTGTGTGTGTGTGTGTGTGTGTGTGTGTGTGTGTATAAAATCTAATTTGACTCCCAGATTTCCTTCTTGTTCCTCTACCAGGATTTTTTTCACCCAGCAGCCTAAGTGATCCTAAAACAATTAAATCGTGTCATATAATTTCCTTGCTTAAAATACTCCAATGGCCCATTGTATTTAAATAAAACACAAACCTCTTACTCTGGATTGCAAAGTGCTACATACTCTGGTCTCTGCTTTTCTCTCTAACCTGTCTCCCTCTGTTCTCTTCTAACTAAGCTCCAGGAACACTGGCTTTCCCTCTGTGTATAGGATGAACATTCGGGCTCATTCCCACCTCAGAAACTTCACACTGTCCCTTCCCTGGAACGCTCTTCACATTGAACTATATCCATAGTTATGTCTCTTTTTTATTCAGATCTCAGATAAAACCCATCTTCCCAGTTCAGGACATAGCTGACTCTACAACTCAAAAAGCCACTTGGTTATTCTTTATCATTTCAACCTATTCTGAGTCTTTGTGCAGCATCTAATACCACTCTATATTTTTATTTGTTTGCCTATTTTTACTTATTCATATGTTTAGTTAGGTAATTGCGAGCTTCTCTGTTTCCTAGAAAGGGACCTTCATGACAGCAAGACTAGGGCCTGTTCACTCCTGGGCCTCTCTGCCTAAAAGGATGCTGAAAAATAATGCGTGTCTAATAATGCTTCGTATATTTTTGCTAAAAGTTAATGAGGGCTATTTAGGTTATTTCTTCCCCAAGTAATTTCAAAATGGGGCTACATTGCCCTAGCGCATTCATCCCTGTACATGTCCAATCAAGTGCCAAAAGTTTAATTATTGAGGCAAAGGTATATACAATTTAAATTTTGATCATTGTTTCCAAACCACCTTTTAACAAAGTTATGCCAATTTACATTCTGAGTGGATTCCTTGAATCTTCTTTTAAGTGACTTCATGACATGATATTTGAGATACACTCTCTCAATTTAGAAGCTCGGGATACTTTATTATTTCATAACTTTGAAATGCAAACAGAATAGCCCAAGTGCAGACATCCACAGTAGACCTTCAGAAAGGCTGGAGAACCCGCATTTATAGTTACTGACAATTAGGTGAGTTACTATGAGAAGCATGCATCACTCCCTTTCAAAGGTCTCTCATTACCCAAGTCTTACATCTGAATTTTTAGCAGTAAACAATGGTTTACTAATCAACAACTTTCCCAAGCATACAAGTATAATTTATGATAACAAAAATCTTAGTTGATGAGGATTGGATAGAGACACAGAAAACCATAATGGCAGAAACAGGTACCTTATTTGAAAAGGTTCTCAAATTCCATGAATTTATTTCTCCCCACCAAAGGCTTATCATGCCCTTTGAGTCATCTATGGCAACAAGCTCAGATTCTGTGTAACAGTAACTGGAAAATACCCTACTGATGAAATGTATACCTGTATGTTCATATTTGTTTAAACATATCACCAAGACCAATGACAGAAGTGGGGGCATCTAGATGCCATTGACTCCTCTATGCCATTTTGTGAAAGACATCCTCTCCCAGTGCAAAATCAACCAACTAAAGTCATGAACAACAGCCAGAAGGGAGCCAGAAAACAAAGCCATAGACGTACAGACATTCAACCTCTACAGGAACATCATTCCAGAACTTCCACCAACTTATTTCACTCAGAAATATCTTTAAATGAAACATGAGTTTTCAGCAAAGATCATCCAAACATCTGTTATTTAAGCACATAAGATGTTCTCTATCGCTCATCCCTTTTACTCAATGGCAGCGTATTCTCCACTTAGAAGAATTACAGCATTGGAAAAAATTGCCCAGTAATTGAGAGATACCAACTCTGGGTTCAAGATGTATCTGCATGAAGTATCCAATATGCTAAATACAGAAAAATGGGGGTACTTACAGCAGGGTGTCCAGTACAGTAGGCATAGCTGGCATGGGACTGATAGTGCAAGCTTGCTCTTGGGAAGGAGTATGTGTTCCAGGCTGGTTGGCTGCTGTTCCACTGAGAGCTGAAGCCAGGGCTCATGGTCACTCGGGACTTACTAGTTTGATAGGCTCTCACTGTGGAGCTAGACTATCAAGAAGAAAGAAATGCAATGTAAAGACAGCTCTGCATAAAACCCAAGTCAGCTATATACAGCAGTAGGCACTTTCTTGTGCCACGGGTCTTGGCTGGTTAAGGCAAATGGCTGATTCCTTAAGGGGAGGCATTAAATATTGTACTGACTAGGAGAAAAGTATTTTCTCACTGTTAAGAATTTTAACTGGATCACAAAGCACAAAGGCTCATTGAAATGGATCTTACTGTTTTTGTTTTTTTTTCCAGTTGCAACATGCAACCCCATCCTTCAGAAATGAGATATGTTTTAGTGGTGACAGCAGTGATGATACTGTCGATTTTACATATACATTCTCTCATCAAAGCGTTCACCCTAGAAATTGACCGTCGATCTCATCTGAATGCAATAAATGAAAATCTTACTTTATAAGGATGGGACTGAGGCACAGATTAGTCCCTGACTCTAAATGGTCTTCAAATTCCATGAATCTATTGCTCTCCTGTGGAAGGCATCACAGAAACCTGGTCATATTCCAGCATGTCACCATTCTACTACCTAATGGCAGCGTAATGATGAAGGATTTGAAATCGTCATTTACCCTCAACTAGCCGTACCCATGTAATTAAAAATAGAGAAGTAGGAAAATATCTATTAACTTGCCAAATGTTAAATATTCGTGGTTGTTCATAGCTGTATATAGGGTAGAATGAACTGAAAACAAAACTCACTTATATCTTCTTTGTCCTCAGATGGCCATGACATATAAGACATATAATAGTTTCTTTTCAGAGAATAATTTTCTATCATCAGATTGCAATAGCTACTTACCCAAGTAGTACAGCAACTTCCACAATAAATTCTATTTATAAATCCATGGGCATATGCCAACTCAATCACTAGGAAAATGCGCTAATCTTATCGCCATTATATTCAGGAAACCTAGTGGGAAGAAACTTCTACCTGAGATTGTGTTACCCATTAGGCCAGATTTTGATACCATTAGATACTTAGAGGAATGACTTTTCTGAAGACAAGTTTGGGCATCTTGGAGTAACTGAAAGAAAGCAAGGGCCTCAGCAACTGGAAGGTTCTAGGAAAGGCTATTTCTCTCACAATAACCTCAAGATATTTGGAAAGGAAAGAGAAAATTTAAACCAGTGATTCACTGGTAAGCAACTTAAAATACTTAAACCCCAAACTAGAGAACACAGCCTTGTTGACGTAGACAAGTTTTTTTTTTCCGACCCTCTGTCTCTACTCTCATCCTTACCCTAACTAAACATGTGTACTCTCCAAGTGTTCAACAGTTCAATGTTATGTGCAGGTACAGCAATGTGAAGGTAGACACTGCTGCCTACCTCCCTAGGACAAACCTGTGTTGGAGAAGCAATAGTAGACTTCTGTAAAATTGGGATTTGGGTGGGGCACCTGGGTGGCTCAGTCAGTTAAGCATCTGCCTTCTGCTCAGGTCATGATCCCAGGGTCCTGGGATGGGCTCCCTGCTTGGTGGGTGAGTCAGCTTCTCCCTCTCCCTCTGCCCTTCCCGTGCTCATGCTTGCTCTTTCTCTCTCTCAAATAAATAAATAAAAATCTAAAAAAAAAAAAAATTGGGATTTTTGTACATGGTCCTAAGTATGGAAGCTCCATATTTATATGTTATATGTGTGATATATACTATCACACGTTATATGTGTGATATATACTATCACTTCAAAGAGTAACAAGCTCACCCACAAAACTATCATTGGCCCTGAAAGTATCTTGGCTTTCTGCTCTGCATCTATGGTCACTAACATTAATCACTCTCACTAGCTCAGTAGGTTCTCTGGCTAGCTCCTTCAAGACAAAACGTGGTTAGTTCCTTTATCAGTTTTCACAATTAGATCAGCTCCTGGACCTTAACATTCTTGGAAATTGTGTATGCACTCATCTCTTGGTTTAATTACTTTCCCACATTGCTTTAGTCTCTCCTCAATGATTTTATTCGTGGTGGTCTTCCTCCTACAAATTCTTTTTGGTCCCTCCTTTACAAACCTCACATTCGAGCTACACTTCATACTTGGTCCCAGTTCCCATGCCCTTGTCTTCCTACTCTCACACAGCCCTCCCAGTGTGGCTCAAACACTTCCGTCTGTGATTGCATCGCTTTGTATTGTTCCCACTATATGTAAATTTCAGCTCTCCAACCTGGCTGAGAGTCTAATGAGGTCAAGATCTGGTATTGCTGTATTGCCTTTTTCGCAGCTCAAGGAGTCTTTATCTCCCTTGCCCTTGGAAGGCTCTGAAAGTGTTTATCTCCTTATCACTGCAATCATCTTTCCCTCTGACTCCTTGACCCTTCTGACTGTACCTTCCTGTCTCACCTGCTTCCTTATCTTTCTATTTGCTCTCCCCAAATGAGGTCTTTTGCCAGGGCTTAATTTTCAGTTCTGTGCTATTCATTCTTTTAACTTTCCTCCTTTGTGATCTTATTCATGGTCAAAGCTTTAAGTATTAATTCTAAGAAGATGACTCTCTGATGTAATTTAACAGTATGTATCATCTCCTAAATTCCAGTCCCAAATCTTAAAATATCTGCTGGATATGGATGTATAATTATCAATCACCACAAATGGAACAAAAGTTTAAGTTACCGTGTATAAAATTAAATGAGTGTATTGTTTTACTCTAAAATTTCACCTCCCCACAATTTCTTTATTTCTGCTAATATTATGGCATTATTTTGAAACCAACTGCTTTGATCCTTTAGAATGCCTGTGACTCATTTATTTGTCCTCCAGCCCGTTATCTAGTGCCACCAAATTCTATTGACTCTCTTCAGTAGGTCTTGAACTGATGCTGTCCTTTCCATTCCTATTAGGAGTACCCAGTTCTAGGATTTTATCAGTTTGTATCTAAGTCACTAAAACTACATCAACAACCTTCTACCTTAAGCCTCAATTCACTCTACACAATGACATCAGATTAGTTTTCCTAGAAACTTGCTTTTATGGTGTTACTCCCTAATGAAAAATGTCCAGTAGTTCTCCATTCCCTCTGAGACAAAATCCAAAATTCCTAGTCTCCTTGAACATTCTTTCCAACCCTAACCAATAATGCAAGGCTTATTTTTTATTCCTTTCTATATAGTCTCAAGCTCCAGATAGACTGTTACTCCGAACAAGATTTATGTCTGTCACACCTATCTCCTTCCTAGAATGTACTCCCCTGCTCTTAGTTCACTTGACCCTACCAGACTCTACCTTTTCTGGTAAACCTATTTCGACACTCAGCCACCAACCCAAAGGGACTTTCACTTCTACTGACACTGACATTACAGTGACATTACAGATTTTCTTTCATATTCTTCTGGCTCTTTCATTTGTGTGGTACCCAGAAAATCAATACCATGACTCCATGAGTAGAACTCATCAAATCCCCTAATTAGTCTGTCACACAACAAGTCACACGTCTCAACACACATCTTTGGGAACAGGTGTCTCAATTGTATTTCTTCAGAAGAACATGCAAGAACTTGAGTGTAAGTAGTTCATTTTGAAGTGATTCTAGAGAAAATCAGTAGGAGATTAGGAAATGTGACAGAGAAAGGATGAGACAATCCATTTGCATCACTGAATAAGTTATCACTATGGAGAACCAATTCCATTGGGAGGCTCTGGGAGACAGTGTAGAACATATTTCAGAGTTACCTTATCGGAAGTTCAAGGAAGCTGGGGTATTTAACCTGATTCCCATTCATCATTGGCTGAGGGCTACTACTGAGAGCATTATTCCCTGGCACAGGCATAGCTGGCCTGCCCCACACATAGGCCAAAAGAAAGTTCTGATGTAGAGAGTCCCATGGGACTGTTAATATGCTCTGAGAAAGTAAGTGCCAAGAAAGTATGGGCAGAGCATTGATAGCATCAATGTTAGGTGGATGATTCCCTGAACTTCTTCTTTTTTTAAATCTTTAAAAATTTTATTTATTTATTTGAGAAAGAGAGAGAGAGAGAACACAAATGGGTGGAAGGGCAGAGGCACAGGGAGAAGGACTAGCAGCCACCCTGCTGAGCAGGGAGCCCGATGTGGGGCTCGATCCCAGGACCCCAGCATAATGACCTGAGCTTACCTGACTGAGCCACCCAGGCACCCCTTCCTGAAATTTTTTTTTTAAGATTATTTATTTATTTATTTATTTGACAGAGAGATACACAGTGAGAGAGGGAACACAAGCAAGGAGAGTAGGAGCGGGTGAAGCAGGGTTCCTGTTGAGCAGGAAACCTGATGTGGGTCTCAATCCCTGGACCCTGGGATCATGACCTGAGCCAAAGGCAGACTCTTAAAGATTGAGCCACCCAGGCTCCCCCTGAAATTCTTTATATCTGTCATAGAACCCCAGACACTTGAATTTTCCTTTTGCATGACTGAGAGCAAAGGGCTCAAAAATATTGGTCAAATTGGCTTGACTACACTACTGTTAAGGATTTGAAAGGACAATGCATGAAAGAAAATACTGAGATGGCCAGTAAGCATGGTGAAGAGGTGCTCAAAATCAGGAAAATATAAAATAAAGCTATAAGAAGATACCAGTTTATATCCAGGCAAGTGGCTAAAACTAAAACCATTGACAACACTAAATGTTGGTGAGGTTACAGAGGACCTGGAACCTCATACATTGTCAGGACATACAGAGGACTGTATGTCCTTTGCTTGGTGGTTTCTGATAAAATTAAGCCTATTTCTACTTATGACCTTGTAATTCTATCCCTATTTACCCAGAGGAAAATAGATTTACACAAAAATATTGTATAAGAATGTGCATAGTAGCCTTATGCATAATAGTCCCAATCTGGAACTTATTCAAATGTTTATCAAGAGGAGAATGGTTAAAAAAAAAAAAAGTGCTTTCATATAATGGAATACTACTCAACAATAAACAGAACAAACTTCTGATATACACAACTACATGGGTAAGTCTCAAGATCATGCCAAATAAAAAAAGACCAGGAATAGAAGAATAGATATGTGCGAT